TCCCATTCCTCAGCTTCCCTAGGTTCAGCTGTTTCCTTTTGACCCCGGGGGCCAGGTTCTCTGCTCTTAGCATTGCTTCTTGGCCCTCAAGGTCTGAGGAGCTGCCTGGGAATCCTCTTGGCTTGCATCCCCGTCCTGCGAGTGCTGGAGGCAGGGCAGGGTCCCCGGAGCTGGTGACCTCAACTTGTCCAGGCGATCTGCCCAGCTTCTCCCCACTGGTACATCCGCCATGAGAGGAGTCAGACTTCCAAATCTCCTGCTGGTGGTACACACAGGGAGGTTGGTGGACCAGTGGGTCAGTGACGGGAGTATGCTCCAGAAGTCCCTGGCCATCAGCATCTCCAGTTTCAGATTTCATCACAGCAGCCGTGCCCCTGGCACCTCCCCTCCTTCCCCCCCCCCCCCGGGAGCCCTGGCCAGCTACTTTCCATTGCAGGAAACATCTGCTGGGGAGGCCAGGCTAGGCCAGGGGGTTACTGGAGGACATTGGCCAGTACCATCACCCAGATCCTGTAACTCGAGGCATGTGTAGGGCTCTGGGCCTGCCCGCCCGCCCACCCACCCACCCGGCTTCCCTCCTGCCACGGGCAACTCTAACAAAGAAGTTGTTTGCTGGTCAGCTAAGGAGAGCACGGTCTGGGGAAGGAAAGGGGTGTGTGTAGGGGTGGGGGTGAGAACAGGTCTTGTTGCCACAGCCAGCGGTGGCCGCTCTGCCTGGGAGAGGGCTGTGAGTCATAGGGACCAGTGCCCGCCCAGCGGAGAGATTGCATGGTGAACGGGCTGCCTTATGGGACGGGCCAGACGGAGCTGGGAGGCTGGGAGCTCATTCTCTCCCCGGAGTTTCCGGCGAACTGTGAGCTGTGTGTGAGTAACCAGCGGGGTGCACCTCTGGACCTGGCTGTGGGGTCGCCCTCTTCCTGCGCAGTTTGTCCACCAGGGGCCTGCTGTCCCCAGCCCTCCAGCCAGCCCCCTCGTGCACCTGCCGTCTTCTGGCCTCGGCTGGCCTCTTGGAGTGGCTGGTCACACTGAACCAGAACAAGGGGCTTCACCGCATCCCCTCTGGGTCACCCTCCACCCAAAGACCAGCCACCTTGTGGGAGCCAAAGTGGGACGAAGCAAAACCTGGCCATGGGAGACTGGCCGGCCAGCCTGTCCCAAGAAGCATGCTGACCATACCCTCCCACTTGTGAGGTTTCGTGCTGGGAACAGAGCTCTGGGAGAGAAAAGGAGGCCAGTCAGGGTCACATAGACCCTCTGCTGAGAAGCCGGAGGTTGCCTGTCTGTCTTCAGCCCAGACGAGACTGACTATTTTCATCCTGAGGGGACGGTCGGGAACCAGAGCTCCAGGAGCCAGGCTCTACTGGGAGGTGGAGCCGTGGGTAGCGATGGAATCTTTGACCGAGTCTGGGGTCCTCCAGAGCCTCCTGCTGGAGCAGGACAGCCAGCCTTTGCAGTGGTACCTGAAGAAGTTTCCAGATACACCTGCTGGTGCAGAACTCTGCTGCTGGCATGAATCTGAGGAGATTCCAGCCGTGAGTGTGCATCCCCAAATCTCTGGGCCCATGTGACCATTCTGCCATACCCCTGTAATTCCCCACTCGGCCCTGCTGCCTGAGGCCCCCCCATCTGACCATTCTTGAACCAGAATTCTCTGACCATTTTAAAGTAGGTGAGCCATGCCTCACTTTTGGAGGAGATTGCTTTGAGAGCACGGGGGTGGGAGGCAGAGGGCTGTGGGCTCTTGCATCAAAAGGATATATGGTGGCAGGTCGACCTGATGAATCTCTGCTTTAGAGTCTGGGAGGCAGAGACTGGCCTGCCATCCACATTGGCAGCCTGGGAGAATCAGGGCATTTATTTGCAAGGTTGGGTTAAGGAGTCCCTGCACCCAAGCAAGTTTTTGTAGAGCTGGCTGAGTTCAGAGGTTAGGGCTGGGAGTTGCCCTCCCTCTCCCCAGGGCTACAGCTTTGTTCGGAGGAGAGGAGGGGAGCGGCTCCCTCCATTTGCCGGGGGTTTGGTTTGGAGATGATTGCCAGACTCCATGCACCTCCACCTCTGTCAATGTCTCAGTTCCTGGTGGAGGCGAAAGAGGCATGGGCGAGGAAGCAATGTGGAAAGCACATGAGAAATAGGAGGACTTCCAGGCCTCGGAGAATTGGATGCCTGATGCCTGGTTACACCTGAAGGGGCTTGGGGCCATCTGCTATGCTGGTCCTCGGGCTGATAGTGGAAAGTGGTAAATATGAAGACTCGCCTGATTGATTTTTTTTTTTAAGATTTTTTTTTTTTTT